CTAGTAAGAACCTATTGTATAGCATAGGGAACTCCCTGTTCTGTGGTGATCTAAATGAGAAGAAACTTCTTCAAAGACAGCATATACATCTATGTGCATCTATACACACAGCTGATTCACTTTGCTGTACGGCGGAAACTAACACGACATTGGAAAGCAACTATACTCCAATAAACACAAATGAATAAAAAAAGAAGTCAGACTTGGCATCGGGCTCTGGACACCAAGCCACCTCTCAGGGGAAGTTGCACAGGGAGGTGACCCTCAGCTGGATTTAAATGTGTAGATGGATTTACTATGAAAACACGCTTTTCCCTAAAAGAGCGTGATTTTGAACAGATTCCACCTTCTGGCTGTTACTGGGCTTAAGGATCCATTCTGAAGTCTCCACTGCGATCCCCCCTTTCTTCTCCACGTGTCCCAACAAAACACAAGCCTGCAGGTCAGAGCTGGCCGGCTGGCAGCAACTCCTCCTGGAGGGGGCCGAGGGGGCCCGGAGGAGGCTGGGGGCGGGAACCTGCCAGAGGCCACAGCGTCGGGCTCCACCCCACAGAACAGAATCCTCTACAATTTTTCCGCGTACCAAGAGGTGGGAGGTGGGGATGGTTTCTGGATGATTCAAGCACATGGCATGTAGGTGTACTGTTTCTGTAATTATTCCATGTGATAAATAAAGGAAATACTTGTACCGTAAAATCTGCTTGTGGTAAGTAAGGAAATATTTGTACCACTCACGGTAATGTACAATCAGTGGGAGATGGGAGCTTCTCTCTCTGCAACTAGATGGTCCCATCTGGGGGAGTGATGGGAGATACAGACACTGGAAGGGTGCTGCTTACACCCAGTCTAGTCCATAACTGGGCTTCCCTGGCGGCTCAGCTGGTAAAGAATTTGCCTGCAACGCAGGAGACCTGGGTTCCATCCCTGGGTCGGGAAGATCCACTAGAGAAGGGATAGGCTACCCACTCCAGTATTCTTGGGCTTCCCTGGCAGCTCAGCTGGTAAAGAATCCGCCTGCAAGGCAGGAGACCTGGGTTCCATCCCTGGGTTGGGAAGATCCCCTGGAGAAGGGAAAGGCTACCCACTCCAGTACTCTGGCCTGGAGAGTTTCGTGGACTGTGTAGTTCATGGGGTCACAAAGAGTCAGACACAACACAGCGACTTTCACTCACTCACACTCAATAATCTTGCTTTGGTTGCTATCGGTGACTCGGTGGTAAAGAATCCGCCTGCCAATGCAGGAGACACACAAGTTCGATCCCAGGGTCGGGAAGATCCCCTGGGGGAGGGCATGGCAACCCACTCCAGTATTCTTGCCTGGAGAATCCCATGGACAGAGCGAGCCTGGCAGGCTACAGTCTGTGGGGTCGCAAAGAGTCGGACACGACTGAGCACACACACACAACACTTTCTGCAGAAAACCTTGCTTCACAAAGATGTTGGAAACGGAAGCAGGCTTTTCAGTGCTTTTGTGGCAATCTCAGGATATTCCTCCTTGACCTGACTCCAGAACGTATGGACATTTGAAGTTGTCCCAAACATACTTTCAGGGACACCGTCATTTGCTATCTCAGGCAGTAATGCAAGTGATGGGGAAGGGCTGTAAATACAGATCAAGCTTTGCTCCTTCCCACCCCTCTCCTGGTTCACCTCCTGCTGTGTGGCTGAGGGAGGGGGGTGGGGGGGTTCCTATAGGGTGTGCAGCCCAGGGGGTTGGTGACCCCCTGCTCTACAAGGCTCTCATGTGTAAGGAGCAAGAATCCGACATAGTTTAAGCTTGGCTATCTCACAAGAGTTTAACACACGATAGTGGCCAACTTCCCTGATGGCTCAGATGGTAAAGAGTCAGCCTGCAGTGCGCGAGATCAGGGTTCGATCCCTGGGTTCGGGAAGATCCCCTGGAGAAGGGAATGGCAACCCACTCCAGCATTCTTGCCTGGAGAATCCCCTGGATAGAGGAGCCTGGTGGGCTCCATGGGGTCACAAAGAGTCGGACACGACTGAGCGACTTCACTTTCTTTCTTTCTTTTGCGGCCAACAAGTTCGTGGTACCAACTTTGAGGTGCTGATGTCTTGGCTCCAGAAAGCAAGGAGAGCCTGCTGCTTCATGTACTGCCAGGTCAACTAGAATTGTCAATACAAGTTCAGCAGCGGGGTCGTGCCAACAGAGAATCATTTTTTGCCACAATCCAGAAAGAGCTGAGTCCCACCTCCACTTCATGTTCTGGTTAACAGATCAGCAATTAGAGGGTGTTATTTGCTCAGTCCTGTCTTACCACGTAACATTTCACAAATTGACAATTATGCATCATCGCCCCAGTTGTAAGTACGGGTGTCTTTCCTTCTCTGCTACACTGGGAAGTCCTGTGGGGGTGGAACCTCTGTCCTACTTGATCCAGAACCAGAATTTTGAACCTCAGAAAAATGTTCTCAATTTGGAGAGCTGGGGGGAGAATGGATACCTGTCTATGTAGGGCTGAGTCCTTTCACTGTCCACCTGAAACTATCATATTCTTAACTGGCTATAGTGAAAGTGAAGTCTGTCAGTAGTGCCCAACTCTTTGCGACCCCATGGACTGTAGCCCACCAGGCTCCTCTGTCCACGGGATCTTCCAGGCCAGAATACTGGAGTGGGTTGCCATTTCCTTCTCCAGGGGATCTTCCCGACCCAGGGATCGAATCCGGGTCTCCTGCATTGCAGATGGATTCTTTACTACTGAGCCACCAGAGAAGCCCAACTGGCTATACTCCAATATAAAATTAAAAGTTTATTTTAAAAAGTTCTCAATTTGATTCACATGAATAATTATCTTGATACTCTTCGGGCACTCTAATAAATACAACAAAAACCAGTTTTCATTATCACGTTCTGGTTAACAGATCAGCAATTAAAGGGCATTAATTGCCCATCCTGTCCAACTCTCTGAGAACATATAGCCTGCCAGGCTCCTCTGTCCATGGCACTGTCCAGGCAAGAATACTGGATCGGGTAGCCACGTCCTTCTCGAGGGATTCTTCCCGACCTAGGGATTGAACCTGGGTCTCCCACACTGCAGGCAGATTCTTCACCGCCTGAGCCACCAGGGAAGCCCTTATATACAGGCTGTTTTACATTAATTTATGCAAAACACAGGGCATATTTAAATCTCTGCATTATAGATCTCAAAGGACAGTCCCTTGCCTGCATTTTCATTTATTTTATTCTCAAATTTAAATGTCTCGAGGGCACTCTCTCTGGCCGGTTACTTCAGAAAATAAAACATTCTCCAAAAGCAGCTGACCACGCCTTTTTTGACATTCCTGTTCTAGAATTTCACTTGAGTCTCGCCACTCTTTAAAAGCCCACAGGATGATTCTGAAAATTGCTGGGTTGGTCTCGCAAAAGCAGAAATCCTCTGGAAGTCACTCCCTCAGAGTGGTTACCCACACAGCCTGCCAGAAGCCAAGCCTGTGATGCACGCAGCATGTGATTCCCTCTCTCCCTCCCACTGCCATCTCCCCCCACCCACCTCGGTCCTCTTCACCCCTTCACTGCTGACCGTGCCATTGTAACACACATAGGGTATGTACAGTGAAGCCGTTTATTACGACTCTGCACAGCAGAAGAGGTGAGGTCCAACCAGGGCAGCAGCAATAGCTTTGCAGTTTAAAGGCCCGCTGCTGCCGCCGGGCAGGAGGGAAGCCCGCCCACGTGTGCAGGGCTGCCCGCAGCAGCCCCCCTCCCCACAATGCAGCACACTCGGGACTGCAGCGGGGCCAGGAGCCACTCCGATCAAGATGACAGCTGGCGCTCTGCACGTGATCTGTTCAGAACCCAGGGTCACAAAAGCGCCAACCATGCCGGCGTCCCACGCCAGCACATGCAGACCTCCACACCTGCCCGCTCCGAGCCACCGTACCCTTGGGCGATGCTGCCAACGGCCAGTTTCAGAGCCAAATGAAATAAGACCCCGGTGCACCAGGCTCGCAGGAGCCAACATTCAAATCGGTCGTTTCTGCAACACAACCTTCCATTTCGAGGTTGATGTTTGAATCCGAGCAGCGCATCAACCCCGAGACCCTCAAGGCACAGAAAGACCTGCAGTCAGTGACCCTACCATGCACAAATCGGCTTCCATTTCTCCATCAGTATTTTGTTTTTTTTTTTTACAAAATATTTATTTATTTGGCTGTGCCAAGTCTTTGCCGCCGCATGTGGGATCTAGTTCTCTGACCGGGGATAGAATCCAGGTCCCCCACACTGCGAGCTTGGTGTCCTGTCCTACCCACTAGGCCACCAGGGAAGACCCTTTCATCAGCCGTTTTGCAAATAAGATTAAAGCCCCGCTCCTGCAGTGACCTGCAATGCCCTCTCCTGCGATCCTCAGGGATGAGGTCCACACAGCGGTGTGTATTTCACCTAAATTCCACCCTCACTGCAGGAAAACGGCTACTCCAGACACATTTCAGAATGTGTGCATATAATGTGTTAACACTACAGCCAGCCCATTTTTCCACGCTCTGACCTGCTCCGGGGGAGCTGACCGATTTGATTTCTATTTTTAAAGCTCAAAATGAACTCATTAAAGAAGGCCTAACCCCCATCCTTTCAGTAACAATCCTTCCAGGCAACTTGGATTCCCCCGCCAGCAACCCAGCTGCACTCTAGTCGTTAAAGGGTCCCTTCAGTTTGCTGTTCTGCATGAAGCATTCCATTCAAGCCCATCACACTGGGCTTCTCTGTCATCAGAAAGAACTCGACTGCATGCAAAACACAGCAGCTGTCTGATGAACCAACAAAAATGCCATAAGGAGGGTGTTCAGACTATCCCCGCCCTGGGTTTGCTGGTCCCACCGGCAGTGGTGAGGGGACTCGGGCAACCCCAACTGGTGACCACCCACTTCAGGTCTGGCCGAAACCACACTCGCGACCATGTTAATGGAGCCCTCACCTGCTGTAAAGCAGCCCACCCGCCCCCCAAGATGCCTCCTCAGTGACCCTGAGTGCAAGACTCTCTTACCTTGGGGTGGGGCCTCTGTCCTTGGCCCGTGCCGCCGAAGAAAGCTCCGTGTGCTCCCCCGGGTCCCCCGCTTGCTGTCGAGATTCCATGGAGGCGTCCTGCCAAGGGCGGCACAATGGGACACCCAGTCATCAAGCGGCCTCCTCCCCCCTCCCCAGAACCTCTGCGATCACAAACCCCCTCATTGTGGGCAGGCCCTGGGAGCCAGCACCCACCAACTGGGTGACGTGGCCTGCGGTCAGCTGGCCTGGGGACCGTCAGCCCAGCCCTCATCAAAATGACTCAAGGAGACCGCGGACCCCTTGGGTTCCTGGGCAGGAAGCAGGACTCTGACGTGAGGGCTGGAAAGCTGTGTGACATGGTGGCCCCCAAACCCCACCCAGTCAAATCAAAATGCTGCTGGTCACACGGCTCACCGCAGTCACAGCTCAAGCCCTGTGACCTGGAGTCTGGCAGCCTGGTCTCTTGACCTCGACAACATGGAATTCTCGAAGGTCACGTGGCACAGGGCACCATCTCGGGGGACACACGCGCCCTAGGTGTCCACAGGCCTTTCTGTACCGTGGGGCCACACAGAAACCAGCACCTCTGTTCACACACGCACACACACAATCATAAGTGTGTAACAAAGTGATCGCTGGTTCTATTGTTTACAACAGCCTCCATCGGATGCTGCAGGAAATCTTTCCTTTGAAATACACCCCTGCAGATGGAAGGAGTGGAAAAGGCAGAGACAGGGAGACTATGAACCGTGAAGTATGAATACAAGCACGGAGGTTTTTTTTAGAAAGCTTAACATCAGCTTTCACCATCAACACACCTAAGAAAAGTGTGATAGTTTAAAGCATTGCACTTTCAGTTACACTCACCCCAGAGCAATCTTTAAAAATATCTGACCCCATAAAATAAAAACCAAATGAGAACAGTAAAAGTATGAAGTGACATCAATATTTGGAAAATGTCTAACATATGTTGTCTGAAGGGTGGACATAAAGCATCCCTTTTCATTTCAGAGAACAACTTAACCATTTCCTATTGTCTCCCCCAGTTTTTTCCCTTTGTATAAAGGGCAAGCTAATCAGGGGGGAAGACAGCTTCAGCTAGAGATGAGGCTGGGAACTTGAGATGTGGGGGAAACCAGGGCATCTGCAATTGTCCTGAATGTGTGGACCTGGTGCCCAGGTACCACTCACAGGAGCTGATATAATGGCTGAGCCTGGTACACAGAAACACTTGGACATCAGAACACAAGTCACCATGACACCGGGCCATGCTGTTCCGGGGGTGTCCCATTTGTGCCTTAAGATGGGGTCAGAGGAGGCTGTGTCTGGTCCCCTGCAAGATGCTTACCTGCTTGTAGAGATCCGTGGAAGGCGATGACCGGGACCTTTCGTGGACGTACTGCGGCCTCTCCTCGTGGTCCACACCCACGTCGAGGATGTTGTCGGCGGAGTGGTACCTGCCGGCACCCCTGGCTTCCGGTGCCTTCCTCTGTTCCCTCCAGGAGGCTTGATACTCTGCGAAGGTACCGAGCCTCTGCGGTGGGATGGGTTTCCCTGCCTTTCCATCTTTTCCAGGGCCTGCTTTCCACAGCATCTCCGGCTTCTCCCTGGGGAAGCCACAGGGCGCTGGCCCCAGCCCTGGCTGGGGGCCCACGGGCTTGCTGGTTTCCTCAAAAAACTTCCACCTGTCGGCAAAGGTGCGCATGTTCTCGTCCGGGGGTGCGGGGCGCTGGTCCTCCGCCAGCCCCACCGCGTTCATCTTCTCGGGCTCTGAGTAGGACTTCAGTTTCTGCTCGACGGTGAAGCGCCTCCGACTCCCGATGCGTGCGCCGCTGCTGCCGGCGGCGCGCGAGGGCGGCCCGGCGCCCGGGGCCCCCTCCCAGACGCGAGGGGCTGGCTCCGGATCCGCTGCGCTGGGCTCCAGGTCGCGGCGCCGGAACGACGTGGCCCTCAGGACGCGGGCCTGTGCCTCCTTCAGGTGGTCCTTATAGGTGCCGCCGGGGAAGGCGGTCTCCGGGTCGGCCACTGGCTGCGCCCCGGAGGCGCGCGGCTCCGTCTCCACATCGTCTTCCTCCTCCCCCTCCTCCTCCGCAGAGCTGGCCAAGGCGGCCGTGCTCCGGCTCTTCTGCAGCCTGGCTCGCCTCTGCTGGATCTCGTTCCTCAGGGTGGTGGCAAAGCGATCGCTCCTCCGGAGGGGCTTGCCCGCCGGGGCCTCGGGCAGCGTTGCTGCCGCGTCCTCGTGGCCGGTCTCGGGCCGGCCCACCCCTTCCCGGCTCAGCGAGTGCAGCATGGGCGTCTGCAGGGGGCAGATCTCACCGCCCCCGTCGTCCAGGCTGCCCACCACCCTCTTCCTATCGCCTTTGTCCAGGAGGCTAGCCCCCAGTGGGTCCTCGGGTGCCCTGTCCACAGGCTCCGCCCTGCCTCTCTGCCGTGCGCCTGGGGCCCCCTCCAGCCGGGACGGGTAGCAGCGGGGCTGGGGGGCCGGGGCGCCCCACTGGGGACCGGGTCTGGACATCACGCAGTAGTAGCGACTCTGCGCGCCAGAGTCGCCCCTCTGGTCAGCAGCGTGTGGCCCTCCGACAACAACGGCAGCAGGGCTGTCGTCCGCGAGGCGGTCAGCGAGGAAGGGCTCCCCAAGCCACGTGGCGGCCCTGGGGCCCTCGCGGAAGAAGGGGCCCTCGTCGCTCGAGTGGCGCGGGTGTTGGCAAGCGGGCGAGGGCTGCGGGTGGCGCACGTCGGTGCTGGATAGAGAAGCCTGCAGCCGGCTGGGGGCCCCCAGGAGGGCCCGGGCCCCACTATCGCAGGCCGGCCCCCCGCAGTCCAGGTGCGCCCCGGGCATGCAGCCCAAAGAGCTCCCGGCTCTCCAGCCTTCGCCCCCCCGGGCCAGCCTCGACGGCTGATCAGCGGGCTCAGGTCTCTTCCAGTCGCCGCCGTGGGGCTGCGCACGGCTTAGGCCCGGCAAGGGCTGCACGGGGGCAGCGTCTGCTGAGAACGCGGGGCCCTGGGTCTGCTCGTGGCTCCTGGTGGCAGCGAAGCTGTCCCGGCGGAGCGGGGGAGGCGGCGGGGGAGGGGAAGGAGGGGCTCGTCTCTTATCGGGAACATACCAGACGGGCCCAGAGCTGGACCGCCCGCAAGCAGCTAGCTTGGGCTCGGGGCCGTCCTCGGGGACCCGGGGCGGGAAGCACCCCAGGGGCTCCTCGGCGCCCTGAGGGTCGCCGGCCGTCGGGCCCAGCCGGCTGTGTGCTGCAGCGGAGGCCTCCCACAGGCCCACTTTGTAGAGGATGTTCTCGGCCGAGGATGCGTCCGCCTTGGGCAGGGTGTGGTCCGGGGTGCTGGAGCGGGTGGAGAATGAGCCGTAAGCCGAGTCCCGCTTGCTGGCGCCACCCAAGCGGTCGATGCTGTTGCTGGACTTGGCCGCCAAGAGGCGCCCCGACGGGTCGGGCTGGGAGGACTGGTCCAGGCTGTCGACACTCCCCAGCGAGCTGAAGTGGTCGGAGGTGCGCTGCAGGTTCGCTCGCTCCCAGGCGCCGCCCGACAGGTCCTGGGAGGAGGAGCTAGGAAAGGAGAAACCAAAGGCAACAGAGGGGGGCTTTAGGGCCAGGTTGTGGGCAAGGGCAAGAGGCGACGGTGCACGTGGGCGCAGCTGCCCCCGAGCAGACATCACCTGCACTCACCACTCTTCCCCCATGGCGATCCCTGGACGGGAAGGTGAATACGGGTATGCGCAACCGTGTCCCACTCTTCGCAACCCCCATGGACTGTAGCCCGCCAGGCTCCTCTGTCCATGGGATTCTCCAGGCAAGGATACCGGGGTGGGTTCCCATTTCCTTCTCTGGGGGATCTTCCTGACTCAGGGATCGAACCTGCATCTCCTGCATGTCACTGGGGCGAAGCGCAGGGAAGGTGAGAGCACCGCATCTAACTTTTCACATTTCAAAGAGCAGCTTTTCTGAGGCAGGCTGAAAGGGTCGGAGTCCTACCCACTGGATGCCATTTCCCAAACAGAAAACCTTCAATGCTGCAGTACATTTCTAGAGGCAAAACCCACAGGCTGGGCGGAAGTCCGCAGCTGCAGAAGTGTCCTGGATAGCAAACTGCAGCCCACAAAGCTAAGGATGGCTTTTAGGTGTTCTAGTAGGGGGAGAGGGCAAAATTCAAAGAGTACCACATGATCCATAAAACCGATCTGAAATTCAAATATCAGTGCTCATAAATATAGAGCCTGAGGGGAAGATGGTCATGGCTGTGTGTCGGCTCCAAACAGACCTGAACAGTTGCCAAAGACACCTGCCCACCAGCTAGAAAGTGTATGTGGCCCATTGCGGAACAAGTTCGTGAGCCTCTAGTTTAGTGCACGAAATAATCTGTGCTATGCACTGCAAGCACGAGGAGAGCCATCAAAAAGAGAAGGATCTTCAACTTAAAAAGGCAAGTTCAAAGATAAGATTATATTTGCAAAACCCAAATATTAAATTACAGCCATTCCTCATTTTGCTGCACTTTGCGGATAGTGCTTCCTCCCTGGCCCCCAAATTGAAGGCTGGTGGCAATTCTGCATCAAGAAAGCCTATAGGCGCCATTTTCCCCAACACCGTTCACTCTGCCACATTTTAAAAATTATTGCAGTATTTGAAAATTTTTTCATTATTATTTCTCATGGTGATTTGTGATCATCGTTCATGTTGACTATTGCAAAAGGACTGCCACTCACCGAAAGCTGAGACGATCATTAGCATTTTTTTAGTATTTTAAGACTCAGGTATGCACTTCTTTTTTTTTTGATAGGACAATATTGCATACTTAAAGCTCTCAATGGTGAAACTATTTATCCAGGCATGTAAAGTGCTTTCATTAAAGCTCAACAGAGCTGGAACATTCATGCTTCAAGGGTGAAAAAAACAAAACTGCATCTCCTTGAGGTTTGAGAGGAACCAAGATGAGAAAGAAAAATGTGTGACCTTGGGAAAGACACAAGAGTGTGAGCTGGCTAAGTCACGTGACTGGGGGGGGTGGCGGCCAAATAAACACTGGGCTCCACACACCATGTCCTCGGAGGACAGACCAGGTCCCCTACCAGAAATGGAGCACGTTTCTCTCCATCCTATCTCCCACATTCCTGAGTGGATTTTTCCAGGAGATTCTAAGTCCAAGCAGACAGAAATAAAGCTCAGCGCAGTTTCCACAGGGCACCTGGGTGTCTTAGGTCAAAAACAGCCAAACGGGCTTCATGGAGATCCTATTACATGAAGTCACCGCCATAATGCACTCTGAGGCCCACTTTTTTACTTAAGTGTTAGCACTGGGATGATCAAATGGGTTTTTCAAAAGTACCCTGGGCTCCAAACACTACCATGTCTTATGGCTGTAGATAGGTACAATTGTACTTGTTTATTTCGCTGGGCATGTCTTAGTGGCGGCCCATGTGCTCCTTAGCTGTGTCATGCCAAGACTCAGTTGCAGCATGTGGGATCTAGTTCCTTGACCAGGAATTGAACCTGGGGATCTTGGAGCTCGGAACCCTAGCCACTGGACCACCAGGGAAGGCCCCGGAATATTCTATTTAAGGCGCATTTTCCTTTACAGCAGCCATTTATTAATAGTCAAAAGTTGACGCTGAGATAGTTATGTTAGCTCCGAATACACACACAGTCATGCATTATCACACATACGCACACGTGCACATACACACTCACATACAAATACAAATACACGTACACATTCACACACGCACTTCTGCACGAACCCCACAGGCACACTACTGGCTGTTACCACTATCCTTCCAATAGAGTAGTGAGGTATGGCAGAAAGTGAAGAGGAAATAAAGAGCCTCCTGATGAAAGTGAAAGAGAAGAGTGAAAAAGTTGGCTTAAAGCTCAACATTCAGAAAACTAAGATCATGGCATCCGGCCCCATCACTTCATGGCAAATAGATGGGGATACACTGGAAACAGTGGAAGACTTTATTTTGGGGGGCTCCAAAATCACTGCAGATGGTGATTGCAGCCATGAAATTAAAAGACACTTACTCCTTGGAAGGAAAGTTATGACCAACCTAGACAGCATATTAAAAAGCAAAGACATTACTTGGTCAACAAAGGTCCAACTAGTCAAGGCTATGGTTTTTCCAGTAGTCACGTATGGATGTGAGTGCTGGACCATAAAGAAACCTGAGCGTGGAAGAATCAATGCTTTTGAACTGTGGGGAGACTATTGAGAGTCCCTTGGACTGCACAGAGATCCAACCAGTCTATCCTAAAGGAAACCAGTCCAGAGTGTTCATTGGAAGGACTGAAGTTGAAGCTGAAACTCCAATACTTTTGCCACCCGATGTGAAGAGCTGACTCATTTGAAAAGACCCTGATGCTAGGAAAGATTGAAGGCAGGAGGAGAAGGGGATGACAGAGGATGAGATGGTTGGATGGTATTACCGACTCAGTGGACATGAGTTTGAGCAAACTCCTGTCGCAAAGAGTTGGACACAACTGAGTGACTGAACTGAACTGAGCTGAGACTAGTGAGGACACTTGCCACTAACCGAGATGACTGGTCAGCTCCCTGTGGCCAGCAGAAGCATCTCCCAGCTAATACCCCCATGGTGCTGTCTGGGGGTGGCATTTGCCCTTCTGACCCTGAAATGTGGGCTCCAGATAAGCCAGCTTGACCAGCCCTCCCCTTCTCAGGCCCTCTGTCTCACAGTCACCGAGAGACCACCAGGCCCCCAAGGCTGGTCCCAAGCCTGGCACATGGGCTGTGAAGGCCCCTGGTTTAAAGCAACCTGGGAGAGAGGGTGCTGGTGGAGTACAGAATCCCTGGGGAACTTTGGCAAAATACACCTGCTCAACACATAAGTGACCCCCACCTTCTAATCTGCACGTAAACGTCTCTAAAGAAGGGTGGTGACGTGCACAGCCATCCCACTCAGCTGGCTCAAAGGGATTCGGCCAAAACTGATTTATCAATTAGACGACATAAATGAGAGAGTATGCTTGCCCATCCTTTCTCCTGGTGTTTTTTTTTGTTTGTTTGTATTCAAGTATTATACATCTGCCTACTCAGTGAAAAAAAGTTAGAATCGTCCCAGTAATGATGCATCCATAGACTTTTCTCATCAGAAAAGGAACATCATTCTGAAGTCAAGAAAGGCACCATATAAAATGTAACAATCCACAATCTACGGGATGCAGAAAAAGCAGTTCTAAGAGGAAAGTTTACAACAATGCAAGTTTATCTTAGGAAACAAAAAAACTCAAATATTCTAACCCTATATTCTAAAGGGACTAGAAAAAGGAACACACAAACTCCAAATATAGTAGAAGGGAAGAGATCATGAAGATTAGAGCAGAAATAAATGGAAATACAGACTAAAAAACACTAAGAAAGATCAAACTAAAACTTGATTTTTGAAAAGATGAACAAAATTGATAAACCTTTGGCCAGGCTCATCAAGAAAGAAGAGGACCCCAAAATCAGTAAAGTCAGAAATGAAAGAAATTATAACTGATACCACAGAAACACAAAGGATCTTATGAGATAATTATATGAACTACATTGCAATAAAACAGACAATCTAGAAGAAGTGGAAAATTTTCAAGAAACGTACAATTTCCCAAGATCAAACCAGAAGGTAGAAAATATGAACAAACTTAATTAGCAGCAACAAGCTCAATCTAATTAAAAAAAAACAAACTCCCAACAAACAAAAGTCCAGGACCAGATGGCGTCACAGGTGAACTCTACCAAACATGCAGAGAAGAGTCAACACCTTTCCTTCTCAAACAATTGCAAAAATTGCAAAGAAAGGAATGCTTCTGAACTCATTCTACATGGTCAGCATCACTGTGATACCAAAACCAGACAGAGATATCATACACAAAAAATAAAACTACAGGCTAGTATCACTGATGAACATAGATGAAAAGTCCTCAATAAAATAGTCGCAAACTGAATCAAAATATACATTAAAAGGATTATATACCACGATCAAGTGGAATTTATCACAGGATATACCAAGGATGCTTCCATATCTGCAGATTAACCAATGGGATACACAACATTAACAAACTGAAGAGTAAAAACCATATGATCATCTCAAGAGATGCAGAGAAAGCTTTTGATAAAATTCAGCATCCATTTTGATAAAAACTCAACCACGTGGGCATACAGGGGACATACCTCAACATAATGAAGGCCATATATACAAAAGTCACAGCAAAGATTATACTCAACAGTGAAAAGCTGAAAGCATTTCAGGAACAAGGCAAGGATGCCCACTCTCATCACTTTCGTTCAACAAAATTTTGGAATTCCTAGCCACAGCACAGCAATTGAAGAGAAAGAAATAAAAGGAATTCAAGCTGGAAAGAAAGAAGTAAAACTGTCTCTGTTTGCAGATGATGTGATATTATACACAGAAAATCCTAAAGATGTCACAAAAAAACTCCTACAAGGCCATCAATGAATTTGGTCAAGTTGCAGGATATGAAATTAACATAAAGAAATGTGTTGCATACTAACCATGAACCATCAGACAGAGAAACTGAGCAAACAATCCATTTAAAACTGCATTAAAAAGAATTAAGTACCATGACTTCCCAGGTGGTCCAGAGCTTAAGACTCCCAGCTTTCACTGTGAGGGGTATGTGTCTGATCCCTGGTTGAGAAATCAAGATCCCATGTGCCCCCCAGTGTGGAGGAAAAAAAAAAAAAAATATATATATATATATATATAAACACACACACACATACATACATACCTAGGAAAAAAATCTAACCAAGGAGGTAAAAGACCTATAGTCAGAAAACCATAAGACACTGACAAAAGAAGCTGAAAATGTCATACACAGGATGGAAATATATACTATAGACTGGAAGAATACTGTTAAAATGACCATACTGCTCAAAGCAATCTACAGATTCGAAGCTATCCCTATCAAAACACCAATGGCATTTTTCACAAAACTAGAACAAATCAATTCTAAAATTTGCATAGTAACATCAAAACCCTGAAGAGCCAAAACAACCTTGAGAAAGAAGAAGAGAGATGGAGGTATCCGACTACATTACAAAGCTACGGTCATCAAAATAGTATGGTAGTGGCACAAAAACAGACGTATAGGTCAGGAAATGGAATAGAGAGCCCTGAAATAAACCCACACACTTATCGTCAACTAGTCTATGACAAAGGAGGCAAGGATATACAGTGGAGAAGACAGCCTCTTCAATAAGTCGTGCTGGGAAAACTGGATAGCTACATGCGAAAGAATGGAACTAGAACATTCTCTAACACGGTATTAAAAAAAAAAAAATCTCAAATTGGATTCAGCACTTAAATTTAAGACCAGAAAGCATAAAACTCCCAGAGGAAAACATAGTCAGAACACCCTTTGCCATAAATTGTAGCAGTATTTTTCGGGATCTGCCTCCTAAGGCAAAGTAAAGAAATGCAAAAATACACAAACGGGACCTAGTTAAAATGAAAGGTTTTTTCAGGGGAAAGGAAAGCATCGACAAAATGAAAAGACAGCCTACTGAATGTGAGAAAATATTTGCCAATGACAAGACCAATGAGGGGTTAATATGTAAAAAATAAACAGATCCAACTCTATCTGAAAAATAAACACCTGATTAAAAAATGGGCAGGAGGGACTTCCCTGGCAGTCCAGTGGTTAAGACTCTGCCCTTCCCCTGCAGGGGTAGAGAGTTCTATCCCCAGCTGAGGAACTAAGATCCCACACGACGCACATGGGCCAAATATACATTAATAAATAATGGTTAGAAGACCTGAATAGACATTTTCCCAAAGGAGACATATAGATGGCACACGAAAAGCTGCTCGGCATCAGTAATCAGAGAAATGCAAACCAAAACCACAATGAAGCATCCCACCTCACACCTGTCAGAAGGTCTGTCACCAACGAGACAACAAACCACAAAAGCTGGTGAGGATACAGACAAAAGGGAACCCTTGTTCACTACTGGAAAGCAGCATGCAAGTTCCTAGAAAGCTAAAAAGAGAACTACCATAGGATACAGCAATTTCACCCCTTGGGATATACCCTACCCCCCGCAAAAAAAATGAGAACACTAATTCAAAAAGATAACATGCACCCCAGTGTCCATAGCAGCATTATTTACAGTTTTCAAGATACGGAAGTAACCTAAAAGTCCATCAACAGCTGAATAGATTAAAGAAGACGTGGTATATATCATACACACAAACACATACAATGGAATACTACTCGGCCATAAAAAAAGAATGAAATTTTGCCATCCGTATCAACATGGACAGGCTTGGAGGGCATTATGTCTGATGAACTAAGGTGGAGAAAAACAAATACTGCATGTCACTTATATGTGGAATAAACAACAACAACAAAGAGATGCAGACTCACAGACATACAGAACGAACTACTGATTACCAGCTGGTGGAGGGAAGGAGGGAGGGACAGGATAGAGGAAGGATAGTAAAGTACAAACGATAAAATAGATACGCTACAAGGACATATTGTACGGCACGGGGAACACAGCCAACATCTTACAATAACTCTCAATAGAGTATGCGTGTGCTGTGCTTAGCCACTCAGTCGTGTCTGACTCTCTGTGACCCCATGGATGGCAGCCCGCCAGGGTCCTCTGTCCATGGGGATTCTCCAGGCCAGAATACTGGAGTGGGTAGCCTTTCCCTTCTCCAGGGGAATCTTCCCAACCCAGGGATCGAACCCAGGTCTCCCACCTTGCAGGCAGATTCTTTACCAGCTGAGCTACCACGGAAGCCCAAGAACACTGAAGCAGGTAGCCTATCTCTTCTCCAGGGGAACTTCCCGACCCGGGAATCGAACCGGGGTCTCCTGCATTCCAAGGACACCGGAGTGAGTAGCCTATCCTTCCTCCAAGGGATCTTCCCGACCCAGGAAATTGAACCGGGGTCTCCCGCATTCCAAGAACACTGGAGTGGATAGCCTGTCCCTTCCCCAGGGGATCTTCCGGACCCAGGAATTGAACTGGGGTCTCCTGCATTGCAAGGCGGATCCTCTCCCCAGCTGAGCTACATGGGAAGCCTGTTAGATGGGAGTAGCATCTTGAAAAATTGGGACTCATTAGGCTGCATAGCTGAAATGAAAGACTACGGTAAATGAGCTGCACTGCAACACGAAGGAAAAGAAAGAAACGCGTGGTCAGGACAGGACAGGGCTGTCAGCGGTATGGCAGAAAGAGAAAGCAGCTCCCCAGCCCCCGGAGGAGAGGGGGAAGAAGGCAGAAGGTGCGCCTACCTGGCGTGGTACCGGCTCGGCCGAGAGGTGCAGGGGAACAGAGGTGCAGCTGCCTCGGAGTGGCTGTCGGAGAACTTGGTGGCGTGCCAGGAGTGTGGCCTCCAGCTCAGCTCATTCCTCCTGGAGGGAAAAAAAAAAGGATGCACACAACTCAGGGACGTCACACCGAGGACTGCTTCGTGCCAAGAAAGGAGTGAGAGGCGGAAATCATTCGTGTGATTCATGGCATCGTGGTCGGGCACTTCCCATTAACATCTGGGCACCAACACTCCTGGGACAGGTTCGTTACTGGAGAACTGACCTGAGCGCAGAGAGACAATCACTGGCTCCCAGGTGCAAACTGGCCCTCAGGATGCCAAAATGAGTGTTTCTTTTTAAACATGTTTTCAAGCTTTTTTTTTTTTTTTTTCGCATAGTGGAATCCTGGTTTCCTGACCAGGGATCAAACCCACAGCCCTTGCCCTGGAATCTGGGTCATAACCACTGGACTGCCAGGGAAGTCCTCCAAATTTCTTTGAGATAAGTAGATACGTACATCTTGCCTTCCCTTTCCCGTCTCCCCACCAAACACCACAGCGGCATCTTTTGTCTTGCCTGTGTCAGTGCAACTTTGCAGACACCCCTGGCCTCCTTGAGGAGAAGGCATGAGGTGCAGAAAGCTCAAGCTGGGTGTTACAGGATTGGGTGCATTTATTTATCCACTCACTTAAGTGAACATGGCTGTCCTGTAGTCAGTGGGCAGTGTGTGTGTGTCTCTGTATGTGTGTGTGTGTGTCTGTTAGTCACTTGGTTGTATCTGAATCTTTGCAAATCCATGGACTGTAGCCTGCCACGCTCCTCTGTCCATAGAATGCTCCTGGCAAGAATACTGGAGTGGGTTGCCATTTCCTTCTCCAGGGGATCTTCCTGACCCAGGGATTGAACCCGGGTATCTTGCACTGTAGGCAGATTCTTTGCCGTCTGAGCCACCAGGTGTTGGGAGCCGCCGGGATGCACCCAGTCCGTGACAAGGTCGTGGGACGAGAGAGGAACCTGCAAGGCAGCTCTTCCTCACATGGGGCTGCCCCGGGGGCCCAATATGTCCCCTCCAGAGCCGCCAGGACGAGAAAGGAACCTGCAAGGCAGCTCTTCCCCTCGAGGTTGTTCCGGGGACAAGGTCACGGGACGAGAAAGGAATCTGCAACGCAGCTCTTCCCCTCGAGGTTGTCCCGGGAGCCCGGTAAGTCCCTTTCTTCCTTCTGTCTTACTGTTGTTGGGCTTTCTATTAATTTTTGGAAATGATAATATACAGTAATAAGGCCTCGCTGGAAAAGTCCAAGCCTTTTTGGAAATGCTTAAGGTTGCTCTGGCTCAGGACACGACCATAAACATCAAGTCATAAAAGAAAAGGCCACAGGTATAGTTTGGCTGCTTGCTTAAAAGATTATAATGTTCTAGAATAGAAAAGAGTAGAGGTGTTTAGATTTAGAAGTAGATATACTGCTTTAGTTTACTTGCTCCTTGGTTGAAAGGGTTTTCATCATTGCTATTTCCTTTCTGCTATTTGTTCATTGTTTCCCTTTCTTTAAACAACATGGGATATTATGGGTATTTTTGTAAAATTAGAAAATGGGGTATATAGGATTTTAATAGAAGATTTATATTAACCAGTTTTACTGCCATTATCTTACTATTAATAGAGGTGTTTTGCTGCTTTAGAAGTGTTTTTGCTGTTTAATAGTTAATCGTTGTAAATTGAGATTTTGTGGTTTCAGGTAAAGAAAAATATTAGGTTTTTCTCATGGTACTATTTTCAGAAATGTCAAACATGTCACTGTGACCCTTCCCATATATTGTTTTATTGTCCAAAGAATTTACACTATACCTGAGATTTGTGAAACATTGTTTTTGTTAGAGTGAGAATGTTAGGCCATTGAGGCAAGAAGACTATGTACGGGACATTTAAGTATAAACCCTGCAGTCGGAAACATTCTAGATGAATGCTTAGGGGAAAAACATGGGGAAAAAAATACTGATGGAAGCACAAACCAATATCTGATGTAATATGTGGTGACTTAAGGGGGAGGTAGCATTCATTCTATAAAAACTGAGCTATCCTAAAAATTAAAAAAAAAAAGCTACCTCTTCTCCGCAACCGTCTGTGTGTGTGTGTGTCTGTCTTCTTCCTCACCGACGCCACTTGGGTATTCCAGGTCCTGCCGGGGCTGGGCCTCGCAACCAGGGAAGCCCGAACGGGGGTCAGTGGACACATATTGCCCCGAGCCAGTCAGAGTGTCTGAAGTCATCTAAGGGCCCCCACTGTGGGCATGACCATGCCCTAGACCAGTGGCCTCCAGTCCATCCCTGCCAGAGTTTCTGAATGTCACAGGCACCTTCCCTGCCCCCGCCATGGTCACCACCATCCATGACGGCTTATTAGGGTTTGACTACACCTGCCCAGGTGTTGGAAATCCGTGCAGCTGCCGTATGAACGTCACAGAGCCTCCAGGGCAAGCTGCTGCGTGAGGAGACGGTGCACACTTGCATCCCCTCCTCCTGCAATTTAGGACCGACCTAGCCTCGCCACGGGCAACTTCAGATCGGAGCTAAAGGGTACACTGAGCCTCTCTAAGTACCTGACGGATGTCAAACATTCTTTCCAACAGGCAAGAACAATAAAGACTCTTATGCAATAACGAACAGTAATGAAAACCCAGAAAGTTATTTACAACACAAACCTTCTGATGAGTCAGATAATTAACAAGGAAAAAAAAAATATCCATGGGTGGCAAAAATGCAGAAGGTGTTGACTTGATGATAACTGCCCACGAAACAGATGAATCCATCGCACCTTGGGAGTAAAGCGATTGTAAAACCAAGACTGTACCTCATAGAGTTTCTCAAGATCCTCGTAAGGAAGCTTCTGGCCACGTGAATTTCATTTTCAGACGGCTTTTTCTGTGCTATAATATCCAGAACGTCTTTCATCTTCCCTCACAGGTAATTAACGAAGGGAGAAAGCTAGACAGACTGCAGGCAAAGGAAAGAGAGGCTCGGAAAAGAACAGGCCTTACACCGTGTGGCACATTATCACAACTCTGTAACTGGAAAGAGTGGGAAAGGAGCTGGTTTTCCTGGGGCAGACCTGCACCCTGAGAGGAGTAAATGTTTCTCATCCTATTTTAAAAGACAATATAGGCAGACCTATATTAGAGAGATTCTAAGTTGGGCTCCAGACCCTCACAATGAAGCAAATATCATAATAAAGCTAGCCACATGAATGCTTTCCCAGTGCATATAAAAGTTGTGTTTACACTACACTGGGGTCTACCAAGTGTGCAATAGCATGTCTACGAAAACAATGTACAGATCTTATTTTAAATTAAAAGAATGCTAACCAGCCTCTGAGCCTTCAGAGTCCTAGCAGTAATACGAGTAAAATCAAAGACCACTGACCACAGAGACCGTAACAAATGTGATGGTGAAAAACTTTCAAACCCTGAGAATTAGCAAAATGTGAGACGCAAGAGACAAAGTGAGCAAGTACCGTTGGAAAAAATGTCACTCACAGACTAACTAACGGCACGAACAGCTTGAGAGCGCTGCCACAACTTTTAATTTGTAAAAAAAAAAAAACAGAAGCAAAAACAAAACGCCAGGATCTGTGAAGCACAATACAGCCAAGTATTTCTACACACAGTTTTCCCAGGCGGTTCAGTTGGTATGGAATCCACCTGCACTGCAGGAGACCTGGGTTTGATCCCCGGGTCGGGAAGATCCCCTGGAGGAGGGAATGGCAACCCACTCCAGGATTCTTGCCTGGGAAAAGCCAGGGACAGAGGAGCCTGGTGGTCCACAGGTCACAAAGAGTCAAACCCGACCGAGTGACTAAGCAACAAGGTCTAGACACAGATACATGTTTCTACTTGGAGAAGACACAGCCAACGGTCACAGTACTAATTATGGCTTTTAAAAACGAATGAAAGCACAGTGGAAAGGGTGGTACCCACAGGCTCTAAGTAAGGAACTGGGGCTACTTGGGGACAGTGAAATTTTCCTAAAATGTGTGCACTCTTGTCAGATCTTCAGACTTTCCTAGAGCATAGTAAATACATTTGGGAATCAAGGGAGGTTCCCTGATAGCTCAGCTGGTAAAGAATCCGCCTGCAATGCAGGAGACCTGGGTTCCATCCCTGGGTTGGGAAGATCCCCTGGAGCAGGGAAAGGCGACCCACTCCAGTATTCTGGCCTGCAGAATTTTCCATGGACTGTATAGTCCATGGGGTTGCAAAGAGTCGGACACAACAGAACGACTTTCTCTTTTCAGATGGTTTGTCAGCCCCTCTGGTGGCTAAAACGGCAGGGTTTTTTTAATTTTTTCTTTAAAAAAAAATTTATTTATTTATTTTTTACATTTATTTATCGGGTCTTGGCTGTGGCACAGCAGTTATCTTCATTGCATCCCGTGGGGAACACGGGCCATCTAATTGTGGCATGCGGGCTTTCTCGCTGCACAGCATGTGGGATCCTGGTTCCCCGACCAGGGCTCGAACCGGCGTCTCCTGCACTGCAAGGCAGATCTTTAACCACCGGATGACTGGGGAGGTGGCCCCTGGGCTTTAACCACCGGATGACTGGGGAGGTGGCCCCTGGGGTTGTCTGGATTAGAGAGAGGAGGGCATTTGGCTGAGAGCTGATCTCCAGCATCACAGTTATTGGGACCAGATTAGGCAGCAAAACGCAGGGGACCAAACGCGGCTCTGGTGCCACCTAGAGTCCCCAGGTGGAACAGACGCAGGAGGGGCAGATACAAGACGCTCATCTCAGTAGAAGACTTGTGCTTCTTCCTACGCAGGGTAAACACTTGAGTGGCTTTCAACCACTGGAAGCCTGCCAGCGCGGGGCCGTGAGGGGTGCACAGGCCACCAGTTAGCCAGTGAAGTCACTCGGTCGCGTCCGGCTCTTTGCGATCCCGTGGACTGTAAGCCCACCACGCTCCCCGGTCCATGGGATTTTCTCCAGGCAAGAGCACTGAAATGGGTTTGCCATTTCCCTTCTCCAGGGGAATCTTCCCGATCCCGGGGATCGAACCCAGGTCTCCGTGCATTGCAGGCAGATGCTTTCGCCGTCTGAGTCACCAG